ATATGTATATATATATATATATATACATATCCAGTCTGAATTAGCTTAACATGCTAATACTGTACTGCTTTGTTTGAATACAGAGAAATGATGATGTTAATGTTGGTCCAAGTCTTGCTGCTCAAATACCAACAGTTGATAATGACGTGACTGAAACGATCAGGGTTTGTGCAAACAGCATCTTTCTCTGTGAAACTAATGAGGAAGAAATATGGTTAAAAATTTTGCGGATAAAAAGGTCAAAAGATTGGGTGGACATGGACATGATGTTTGTTAAGGAAATAATGAGCTATGTTATTAAGCCTTTTACATATATATGTAATTTATCATTTTCAACAGGAAAATTTCCAAACAATATGAAAATATTGTAATAAATAGGTAATTCCTATTTACAAAAATGGTGAGAAATGTGTATTCAGTAATTATAGACTAATATCCTTGGTGCCAGTTTTCAAAAATCTTGGAGAAGTTATTTGTAATCAGATTGGATAAATTTATTGATAAAAATAAGATTTAAAGTAGCAGTCAATACGGATTTAGAGTCAATAACTCCACTTCAATGGCTCTCATGGAACTGATAGATCAAATAACAAATGCCATTGACCAAAAACAATATTACACCAGTGTTTATGTAGATTTAAAGAAAGCATTTGACATGAATGACCACAGCACTTTACTTGAAAAACTAAATAAATATGGATTAGAGGACCAGCACTACAGTGGATATCTAGTTATTTGGAAAATAGGAAACAGTTTGTACAAGTATATGATGTAAGATCTGAACTATGTGGAATAACATGTGGAGTTCCTCAGGGTTCTGTACTTGGACCCAAATTGTTTATCTTATATGTAAATGACTTGGTCAATGTGTCAGGGCTCTTTAAATGTGTTTTATTTGCAGAAGATACACTTTTTTGTTTGGGTAAAGACATAGAACGGATTTTAGAGAAAATGTAAGCAGAATTTGTGAAAATACAAGATTAGTTTRAACTAAACAAATTATCATTAAACTTGGATTAAACTAATTAAATGACATTTACAAAAAGACCAAGAACGTTTTTATTATTGATGAGAAACTGACATGGAAACCTCATATAAATTATTTAAGAATAAAACTATCTAAATCGATTGCATTGCTTTACAAAGTAAAGGACTTGTTTAATGATAAAGCTCTGTATTTGTTATATAACACATTAATTGTTCCACACCTGGTCTGTTGTGTTGTGGTATGGGGTAAATCATGTGAGACTATTACACATCCTGTTTTTGTTTTTCAGAAAAGAGCTGTAAGAGTTATCACTCAAAAACATTATTATAATCCATCTAATCCATTATTCTGTAAACTGAAATGATTGAAGTTTGATGATCTGGTTGATTATAACAATCTGTTAGTTCTGTATAAAACTCACCTGAACACATTACCTGTAAACATCCAGAAAACCTTTCCAAAGACAGAGAGCTGTTCTAACGGTAAGAGGACAGAGATGTTCATGAAACCTAAATTTAAAACATGTTTAAAGAACGCTGCAGCTCAATCC